ATATATCATGGACTCCGGTAAAATGGCGCGAAACACCTCCCATTCGCATCATTTCCAGTTTCCAAGTCCCGCAATTACAGGAAACCAAAGGTCTCCTGGGATACAGGAAACGACATCCCAGGAGACCTTGCAAATCGCCTTACGACGTCATCGCCTATCCGGTCAGGACCGAAACTGCAGGCTTGCAGTGGAGTTAAAGGTATGTATAATAATAAAAAAAATTTAACTTGTGCTTTACTTTCACAGGTACAACATAATCAGGTAAAGTATAAACAATGGGTGGAACTCCGCTTTAACCCCTAGGTTCACACCCAAGCGTTTTCCGCAGTGTTTTGCAGAATCGCTGTACAGTCCATTTAATGTGATTTCCTATGGGACAGGGTCACATCTCTGTGTTTTTACTTGGTGCGTTTTTTGGAAAGGGGTCAGGGACTTTTTTGAACCCAAAAAGTTGCGTTTTTGGTTCTATAGACTTCAATGGAAACGCTACAGAAAAAAAGCATGTAGTGCGTTTTTGCTGCGTTTTAAATCTGCCTAGCAACAAGAAAAAAAAAAAAAAACGCAAAAGGCATCAAAAACGCAGGTGCAAAAAACACAAAATGCAATGCAGAAACGGGACAAATGCAACCTGCATTAGGTGTGAACCTAGCCTAAAAGTGGCTTGTTCCATGCAGGTATCAGATGTCCTATCAGTAAACAAACAGAGATTAAAATTCTCAGCATGGGGCTGACAAACGTTAATATACAGATTGTGAGTATGAAGCAGTTTGGCATGATGGTCAGACATCTAATAAAACTGGAGAATGTAAAATCTGGTAGAAACAAACCAGCTTCCGGGTTTTAAACTCTGTTCACACCAATGCGATTATTGATTTTTGCAGAAACGCAGTCCATTTAACATGGTTTCCTATGGAACATGTCCACATATATGCTTGGGAAAGGACTACTTTTTTTGCAAAGGACTTTTTTTGGAAAGGGTCAGGGACTTTTTTAACCACTTTGCCTACTGGGCACTTGTACCCCCTTGTGCCCAGGCCAATTTTTCAGCGCTGTTGTATTTGAATGACAATTGCGCGGTCATGCAACACTGCACCCATATGAAATTTTTATAATTTTTTTTTTTTACACAAGTAGAGCTTTCTTTTGGTGGTATGTACTTGCTGCTGGGTGTTTTATTTTTTGTGCTATAAACAAAAAAAAGAAACAATTTTGAAAAAAAAAAAAAAAGTTTTTCTTTGTTTCTATTATAAAATTTTGCAAACAAGTAATTTTTCTCCTTCGCTGATGTAAGTTGATGAGGCAGCACTGATGGGCAAGGATAGGCAGCACTGATGGGCACTGATAGGCAGCACTGATGGGCACGGATAGGCAGCACTGATGGGCACGGATAGGCAGCACTGATGGGCACTAATATGCAACGATAGGCACCAATAGGCGGCACTGCTGGGCACTGATCATCAGTGCCCTAATGATCGGTGCCGATCCATCCTCTCACAATTACCAATTATCTGCAGTACTTTCCTCACGCTGTGACAGCGTGAAGAAAGTGCAGCCGATAACCAGCAACTGCATTTACTGGTGATCTGCTGTGTCATTGGACACGGCTGATCACGTGGTAAAAGGACACTGTGATTGGCCTCCTACCACACCACGTGATCAGCTGTGTCCGTACGACACAAAGATCACGGAGATCGCCGGGTGCGCGCGTTCTGGGAGGACTTCATATGACGCCCTCCCAGAACTGGCCGGCTGCAATGAAGCCGTCATTCGGCTATCTGCAAGAAGGCAAGCGGTTGAAAGAAAAAAAAGCAGCGTTTTTGCTACAAGAGAGTTCAATGGAGAAGCTGCTGAAATGGCTTACCATGCGGCGTTGCTCAGGGAGTCCCTGTAGCGCTTACCTTGTCCTGCGCTCCCGCGATGTGTCCCCCTGCAGCGTCCCCGGCCATCTCCTCCGGCTGATGCCGGCATCCGGCTTCCGTGTTCCGGTCCCTGTGACGCCGGGACGTACGGGGCGCGCGCCGCGGGAAATGTGAAATTTTTAAAAAATGCCTTTTTTTTTAAAAATGACTATCACATAGTATAACATTCCTGTATCAAACCATTTCACATACATTTTGTCCCGAGTGCTTTGTCTGGCGCCCTGCCTGCATTGTTACTGTTCTTTCTGCCTGGAAACTGAGAAACGTCCATGGCGTCCAAAAAGCGTCCCTTTAGGTCAAAAGCGGTTTTAGACCGGCTAGAGAACAGCGATAGTAAATCAGAACCACTTGCAGAATTGAGTGATAATGATTCGTGGGGGAAATTCCTCATCAGACACTGAAAACGATTCTGCGACTCAGCTCAGCGATGTGCGAATTTGCCTCTGTATTTCACATTTCAGTGTTTTTGGTTTGATTATATTATTGAATTAAATGTATTATTATATTATTATTTTTTATGATTTTTTATTAAATTATAATTTATGATTTTGTGTGTCAAGTTTTATCATCCCCGGGATGTTTACTAGACTCTTGTTCAGACGGATTTCAGTGAGTTATTCCTAAAAATTACAGCCTACAATAAAAAAAACTACATATTTCCATGCAAAAAAAAAAGGTACCGCTTTCAGCACAAAAAAATAATCAGACCGCCGAGGAGGTTAAGAAAAAGCTGGAAAAAAAAAAAAGCAAAACGTCTATAACGCATCAAAAAAGCGTAAAAAATGTGTGTAGATAAAACAAAAAATCAAACCCCCCCCCCCCCAAAAAAAAAATAAAACAAAATAAACCACCAAACAATAAAAAAAAAAACAAACAAAAACAAACAAAAAAAAAACAGACTAAAAGCAAACTGCATAGGTGTGAACGAGGCTTTATTGTCTAAACCCCAACAAGCTGAAGTTAGAAGCCGATTGGCTGCCATGCACAGTGGCCCCAGATTGGGAATGCTCCAGTTTCAGTAAATCTCCTCCCTAGTATTTTCAGTCAGAAATGGCCGTCATGGTATGTGAGGGTCTCCTGTAGCACAGGGAACATTTCCAGTAAGAGCACACGCTGAAGTGTCACCAACTGTTTTATTGCTTGAAACTATCAACAAAACCTGTACACAGCGCAAGTATAAAACGTTTATATACAGCTGACCGCAGGGAACATATATACAGAATAAAAAAAAAAAATCTGTGGTTGTATAAACAAGTATATACATGTCATTATACTGTGTGAGCCATCTGGCGGCCATGTTTTTAAAATGGTGCGTGGCTAGATCAGTGTAAGTCAGAATGGGGGAAAATATTCCACACTTTAGGTTTGTTTTGGACCTTTTGTACGCAATGATCTGTGCCCCAGAATCCTCTTCTCTATTTGGCCTGACTTCCACCACACCACCAAAGCTGCAGACAATTTTCTCCAGCCAAGCTGTGTTTTGGCCGCTCCGTATCCGGGGACTCATCACTGCTGTCTTCTGACTCTGGAAATTTCCGTTGCCCCGATGTGGTGGCCAAGATGGGTAGAGAAGGATGCAGACTGTGGGCGGAAACAGAAAACATGTTCATTGGTCTATAAATGTGCGCTGTGATCAAATATGCCCTGCGGGAAGCGGATAGACGGCGGGTATATAAAAGAATTACCCCACTTTAAAATAATCACGCTTTGTAGTCTGAAATGAAGACAGACACAGGTTTTGTTTTATCCAGCTGTATTTACTCAGTGCAACTTTTAACATCCAAGTGAAGGATATAACACCAACATGTCAGAATTTTTTTTTTTTTTTTTTTTTTTTAATTCAACAGAATCACTGAGTTGGAAAAAAGGATCACCCCCTCTTAAAAATTACTTGTAAACTCAATCAGGAGTAGCTAATCGCCTTCTCAATGGCACACAAAGTCATCTGCCTTTCAACTGTGATCAGCTGCGGTCATTTTATCTCAGCATGAAAAGAGCTTTCCTGGAGCATTTCAGTCCCTGGTAGGGCAATTTTGTTCTTGTGTTAGCAAAAAGGATCACCCCCCCTCCTAAAAATGACTTGTAAACTCAAATCAGGCGTAGCTAATCACCTTTTCAATGGCACACAAAGCCATCTGCCTTTCAACTGTGATCAGCTGTGGTCATTTTGATTATCTCAGCATGAAAAAAGCTTTCCTGGAGCATTTCAGTCCCTGGGAGGGCAATTTGTTCTTGTGTTAGCAATAAGGTGCTAACCAATCTCTGCTATCCTTTCCTTTCTTAGTTTGTAAAAACTCAAATTGTGTATATATTTGACCAATTTACTAACCTGATTCCGTTAACACAGTCATTCTGGCCTTGGAACTGGAGGGCAGGTGACAAAATGCCTTCGACAGGAGGCGACACCATATCCCAGACCGTCACCAAACCTTTAGTGTCCCCGCTGAGGAGGTAACGCCCCGAGCTGCAGGAAGGAACATAAAAATATATATTTGGAAAAAAAAAATAAATAAATAAATAAATAATAAAAAATATATATATATATATATATATATATATATATATATATATATATATATACACACACATACACATACATACATACACACACACATACATATATATATATTGGTGGACAGTGCAGTGCTCCCTTACACAGCGCAGGTCCCCCTTTACATTGGTTGTCAGTGAAGTGCTCTGTTTGATGGTGGTTAGTAGTTAAAGGTCCCCCTTGCTTAGTAGCCAGTGGAGGGTCCCATTGCATTGGTGGATAGTGGGAAAACTTTGCCTTACACTCATTTCAGTGGAAAGTGAGTGTTCCCCCTGTATATAGGTGAAAAGATCAGTCAGTGGTACCTTATCTGAGCAGTACAAAAAAAAAAAAAAAAAAAAAAAAAAAAGAAGAGGTTCACTGCTCAAGGAAACCCACCCCAAGCAACCACTGGAGGGACCCTAGGGTTCCACAGGTCCCTGGATGAGAAAGGCTGGGCTGGTGGGTCTTGTATGCCACACTTTGGGTGTGCTGTCCTAGATTTTGCCATTCAGGTTAGCTGAATAAAATCCAAAATGGAACAGAACACACTAATTCACGTCACCCCAACATGTGTAAAGGCTCACATTTTTGGCATGATCCCAGTCTAAAAAAAAAAAAAAAAAAAAAAAAGTCAAAATACTGACAGATACCCACATTTCCATATCAAAGTAGATCCTCTGGTTGGTGACAACTTCTCGCTTCAGTGAACACAAAATCTTGCCAGGATGTCGAATGTCCCAGCACAGAATCTCAGGGTCCTGGAGGAACAATAAATCCGCACCGTAAAAGAGCAATTCAAGCCAAACAATAAAATATAGGGAAAAACCCCCCCAAAAAACCCATCTATAAATGTCAATATTTTACATGCCTAAAAGTTGGTAAACTTCCCTTGCAGTACACCCTCCTTCTTATCACCCCCCTTTCTCTAGCAGTGCAGAGTATTTAACCAATTCAGTACCGGGCACTTTTACCCCCTTCCTGCCCATGCCAATTTTCAGCTTTTAGCGCTCTCACACGTTGCATGACCGTGCAATTGTCATTCAAACTAAATTTTTTATCATATTGTTCACACAACTAGAGCTTTCTTTTGGTGGTATTTAATCACCACCGGGGTTTTTATTTTTTACTAAAATTAACAAAAAAAAAAGAACATTTTGAAGAAAAAAAAAAAAAAGTTTCTTCTTTGTTTTAGTTATAAAAGTTTAAAAATAACTAATTGTTCTTCATAAATTTAGGCCGAGATGTATTCTGCTACATGTCTTTGGTGAAAATAACCCAAATTAGGATGTATTATTTAGTCTGTAGGAAAGTTATAGAGTTCACAAACTATGGTATAGATCTGAATATTGATCAATCCTGAAGTACTGACAGCCAATCTAACTTCTTGAGGCCCAAATGTCAGGACAGTACAGATATCCCCCCAATGTCAGGACAGTACAGATATCCCCCCAATGTCAGGACAGTACAGATATCCCCCAAATGTCAGGACAGTACAGATATCCCCCAAAATGTCAGAACAGTATAGATATCCCCCAAATGTCAGGACAGTGCAGATATCCCCCCAAATGTCAGGACAGTACAGATATCCCCCCAAATGTCAGGACAGTACAGATATCCCCCCAAATGTCAGAACAGTACAGATATCCCCCAAATGTCAGGACAGTACAGATATCCCCCAAATGTCAGGACAGTACAGATATCCCCCACATGTCAGGACAGTACAGATATCCCCCACATGTCAGGACAGTACAGATATCCCCCACATGTCAGGACAGTACAGATATCCCCCAAATGTCAGGACAGTACAGATATCCCCCACATGTCAGGACAGTACAGATATCCCCCACATGTCAGGACAGTACAGATATCCCCCACATGTCAGGACAGTACAGATATCCCCCAAATGTCAGGACAGTACAGATATCCCCCCAAATGTCAGGACAGTACAGATATCCCCCAAATGTCAGGACAGTACAGATATCCCCCAAATGTCAGGATAGTACAGATATCCCCCAAATGTCAGAACAGTACAGATATCCCCCAAATGTCAGGATAGTACAGATACCCCCAAATGTCAGAACAGTACAGATATCCCCCAAATGTCAGGACAGTACAGATATCCCCCAAATGTCAGGACAGAACAGATACCCCCAAATGTCAGAACAGTACAGATATCCCCCAAATGTCAGGACAGTACAGATACCCCCAAATGACCCCTTTTTGCAAAGTAGGCAGTCCAATGTATTTAATAAGAGGCATGGTGAGTTTTTGAAGTTGTCATTTTTTTGGAAAATGAAGAAATTATTATTATTTTTTTTTTTAAACATATTGTCACCAGTGCAGTACATCATCATTATATAACTGGTGTGGTGGCGACCAGGGACACTGACCGGTGACAGTACAAAAAAAAAACAAAAAAAAAAACAAAAACCACAAAACTTTTTTTTAAGATTTTCTTTTTCATACTACACTGACCAGATTACTATACTATTACCATAGTAACATTGTACTACTTTGGAGAAGTGATCAGTATTTATTTATTTATTTTACACACATTATGATTAAGGATTTCAAAGGCATTTGAATCAAAGGATTTCTTTGCAAGAAGCAAGAATCTAGCTGAATGCAATCGATTAATTCAGGTTTTTTTTTGTGGTGATTGGCCATGTCTAAGCACATGGCACAGATGGACTGTGATTGGCTCAGTCTGTACATGTGATCACTGTGACCAGTCACAGCTAGTGACACAACTGTATACAATGGATGGTATGAAAGGAAGCCATCCATCATGTGATTGGTCACAGCAGGTCACATGGTACTGGCAATGGGCTGGTACACAGATCTGACATCGGCACTGTCCAAGGTACACAGCCAGTGACAGATCCTGTCACACAGGGCGACCCCAAGAGCTCGATCCGAGAAGGACGTCACATGATGTCCACCTGGACCGACAAGAGTCCCACTAGCCCAGGGGTGGACAATGTGCGGCTCTCCAACTGTTGTGGAACTACATTTCCCATGAGGCATTGCAAAACTGACAGTTACAGCTATGACTTGCAGAGGCATGATGGAACTTGTAGTTCTGCAACAGCTGGAGGGCCGCAGGTTGCCTACCCCTGGGCTAGCCCATCATTGTGCTGCTGGCCAGGGACGGAACAGGTCAAGCAGAGGAGAGTTAGATAGAGGAAGAAGCACAATCTTCCAGCAACACAGAGTATTTCAGGAGCAGACCTAGACAAAAAGGAAAGAGAAGAGTCCTCCAGCAGCACAAAGTATTGCAGAGGAGAGGTAGATGGCTTAAGCAGCAGAATATTCCAGCGGTATATGGTGCTGCATAGAAAGAATTCCGATTTAAAATGCTGAATAATCCACATAGATGCAGAGGGATGGAAAAAAAAAAAAAAAATGAATTTCTCCAACCACAAAGTGACTTGCCTTCCTGCCTCCAGAGAAAATACAGTTTCCATCCGGTGAGAAGAGAAGGTGAGTGACCCCTCCGTGCTGACCGTGCAGAACTGATAGAGAGATTCCTTCCTCATAGGAGTACAGGCCCAGACACTTGGAGTATGAGCCGCAGGCATAAACATCTTGAGAGGGGCTGAAAGCAATGCAGGAGATGATACCCGGCTGACCCTGCTTCTTGTCTGTGTGAGATCAGAAGGAATGGATGAGCGGGATATGTGAAGGATATTTCACAATAATATTACAATCTTCCTGTACAGATAGGTCATCCAGTTCTGTTATGTAATGAAGGACTCTGCTCCTTCCTCTCCCGAGATACGCTACACTGCTGGAGGACTCTGCTCCTTCCTCTCCCGAGATACGCTACACTGCTGGAGGACTCTGCTCCTTCCTCTCCAGAGATACGCTATACTGCTGGAGGACTCGGCTCCTTCCTCTCCTGAGATACTCTATACCACTAGAGGACTCTGCTCCTTCCTCTCCGAGATACTCTATACCGCTGGAGGACTCTGCTCCTTCCTCTCCCGAGATACGCTATACTGCTGGAGGACTCTGCTCCTTCCTCTCCCGAGATACGCTATACTGCTGGAGGACTCTGCTCCTTCCTCTCCCGAGATACGCTATACTGCTGGAGGACTCTGCTCCTTCCTCTCCCGAGATACGCTACACTGCTGGAGGACTCTGCTCCTTCCTCTCCCGAGATACGCTACAATGCTGGAGGACTCTGCTCCTTCCTCTCCCGAGATACGCTACAACTGCTGGAGGACTCTGCTCCTTCCTCTCCCGAGATACGCTACAATGCTGGAGGACTCTGCTCCTTCCTCTCCCGAGATACGCTACAATGCTGGAGGACTCTGCTCCTTCCTCTCCCGAGATACTCTATACCACTGGAGGACTCTGCTCCTTCCTCTCCCGAGATACGCTACACTGCTGGAGGACTCTGCTCCTTCCTCTCCCGAGATACGCTACAATGCTGGAGGACTCTGCTCCTTCCTCTCCCGAGATACGCTATACTGCTGGAGGACTCTGCTCCTTCCTCTCCCGAGATACGCTACAATGCTGGAGGACTCGGCTCCTTCCTCTCCCGAGATATTCTATAATGCTGGAGGACTCTGCTCCTTCCTCTCCCGAGATATTCTATAATGCTGGAGGACTCTGCTCCTTCCTCTCCCGAGATACTCTATACTGCTGGAGGACTCTGCTCCTTCCTCTCCCGAGATACTCTATACTGCTGGAGGACTCGGCTCCTTCCTCTCCCGAGATACGCTACACTGCTGGAGGACTCTGCTCCTTCCTCTCCAGAGATACTCTATACTGCTGGAGGCAGTGCTCCTTCCTCTCCCGAGATGCGCTATAATGCTGGAGGACTCGGCTCCTTCCTCTCCCGAGATATTCTATAATGCTGGAGGACTCTGCTCCTTCCTCTCCCGAGATATTCTATAATGCTGGAGGACTCTGCTCCTTCCTCTCCCGAGATACGCTATACTGCTGGAGGACTCTGCTCCTTCTCTCCCGAGATACGCTACACTGCTGGAGGACTCTGCTCCTTCCTCTCCCGAGATACGCTATACTGCTGGAGGACTCTGCTCCTTCCTCTCCCGAGATATTCTACAATGCTGGAGGACTCTGCTCCTTCCTCTCCCGAGATACTCTATACCTGCTGGAGGACTCTGCTCCTTCCTCTCCCGAGATACGCTATACTGCTGGAGGACTCTGCTCCTTCCTCTCCCGAGATACGCTACAATGCTGGAGGACTCTGCTCCTTCCTCTCCCGAGATACGCTATACTGCTGGAGGACTCTGCTCCTTCCTCTCCCGAGATACGCTACAATGCTGGAGGACTCTGCTCCTTCCTCTCCAGAGATACTCTATACTGCTGGAGGACTCTGCTCCTTCCTCTCCAGAGATACTCTATACTGCTGGAGCAGTCGGCTCCTTCCTCTCCCGAGATGCGCTATACATGTTGGAGGACTCGGCTCCTTCCTCTCCCGAGATATTCTATACTGCTGGAGGACTCTGCTCCTTCCTCTCCCGAGATACTCTATACTGCTGGAGGACTCTGCTCCTTCCTCTCCGAGATACTCTATACTGCTGGAGGACTCTGCTCCTTCCTCTACTTCTAACTCTACTAAAATACGATGAATCTGCTATTGCTCTCTAACTCTCTTCTGCTCCCATATACCGCACTGCTGAAGGACTTTACTGCTTCCTTTAACTTCAATCTCCTGAAAAATGATTCTGAAGGAACGGCTTCATCCACTGTAATTGTTGAAATAAAACAAAAATAAAGTTTACATTTCCTTTAACAGAAACAAATATTTCCTGTGAAGTACTTACGGAAAGTAGGCCGACATTCAAAGTCTCTTCCTGGGCGAGAAGTATTAAACACCCGGATCATTTTATCAAAACCAGCAAAAAGCAAAGACCCATCTGGAGAGAAACTGAGGGAGTGGGCAGCTGTCAGTTCATCCTAAGACCAAAAGGAAGTCAGTGTTATGTGGAAATCAGGGAACCATTTCCATCCCTCCTCTGTGAGGTGATACAGACAGAAGGGGGCCACGAGTCTGTCCTCCTCCTGCGGGTGATACAGACAGAAGGGGGCCACGAGTCTGTCCTCCTCCTGCGGGGTGATACAGACAGAAGGGGGCCACGAGTCTGTCCTCCTCCTGCGGGGTGATACAGACAGAAGGGGGCTATGAGTCTGTCCTCCTCCTGCGGGGTGATACAGACAGAAGGGGGCTACGAGTCTGTCCTCCTCCTGCGGGGTGATACAGACAGAAGGGGGCTACGAGTCTGTCCTCCTCCTGCGGGGTGATGATACAGACAGAAGGGGGCTACGAGTCTGTCCTCCTCCTGCGGGGTGATACAGACAGAAGGGGGCCACGAGTCTGTCCTCCTCCTGCGGGGTGATACAGACAGAAGGGGGCCACGAGTCTGTCCTCCTCCTGCGGGGTGATACAGACAGAAGGGGGCCACGAGTCTGTCCTCCTCCTGCGGGGTGATACAGACAGAAGGGGGCCACGAGTCTGTCCTCCTCCTGCGGGGTGATACAGACAGAAGGGGGCCACGAGTCTGTCCTCCTCCTGCGGGGTGATACAGACAGAAGGGGGCCACGAGTCTGTCCTCCTCCTGCGGGGTGATACAGACAGAAGGGGGCCACGAGTCTGTCCTCCTCCTGCGGGGTGATACAGACAGAAGGGGGCCACGAGTCTGTCCTCCTCCTGCGGGGTGATACAGACAGAAGGGGCCACGAGTCTGTCCTCCCTCTGCGGGGTGATACAGACAGAAGGGGGCCACGAGTCTGTCCTCCTCCTGCGGGGTGATACAGACAGAAGGGGGCCACGAGTCTGTCCTCCTCCTGCGGGGTGATACAGACAGAAGGGGCCCACGAGTCTGTCCTCCTCCTGCGGGTGATACAGACAGAAGGGGGCCACGAGTCTGTCCTCCTCCTGCGGGGGGGTGATACAGACAGAAGGGGGCCACGAGTCTGTCCTCCTCCTGCGGGTTGATACAGACAGAAGGGGGCCACGAGTCTGTCCTCCTCCTGCGGGGTGATACAGACAGAAGGGGGCCACGAGTCTGTCCTCCTCCTGCGGGGTGATACAGACAGAAGGGGCCACGAGTCTGTCCTCCTCCTGCGGGGTGTGATACAGACAGACAGTCTGTCCTCCTCCTGCGGGGGTGATACAGACAGAAGGGGGCCACGAGTCTGTCCCTCCTCCTGCGGGGTGATACAGACAGAAGGGGGGCCACGAGTCTGTCCTCCTCCTGCGGGGTGATACAGACAGAAGGGGGCCACGAGTCTGTCCTCCTCCTGCGGGGTGATACAGACAGAAGGGGGCCACGAGTCTGTCCTCCTCCTGCGGGGTGATACAGACAGAAGGGGGCCACGAGTCTGTCCTCCTCCTGCGGGGTGATACAGACAGAAGGGGGGCCACGAGTCTGTCCTCCTCCTGCGGGGTGATACAGACAGAAGGGGGCCACGAGTCTGTCCTCCTCCTGCGGGGTGATACAGACAGAAGGGGGCCACGAGTCTGTCCTCCTCCTGCGGGGTGATACAGACAGAAGGGGGCCACGAGTCTGTCCTCCTCCTGCGGGGTGATACAGACAGAAGGGGGCCACGAGTCTGTCCTCCTGCAGGGTGACACAGACAGAAGGGGGCTATGAGTGTGTCCTCCTCCTACGGCGTGATACAGACAGAAGGGGGCTACGACTCTGTCCTCCTCCTGCAGGGGGATACAGACAGAAGGGGGCTACGAGTCTGTCATCCTCCTGCAGGGTGATACAGACAGAAGGGGGCTACGAGTCTGTCCTCCTCTGCAGGGGGATACAGACAGAAGGGGGCTACGAGTCTGTCCTCCTCTTGCAGGGTGACACACAGAAGGGGTCTATGAGTCTGTCCTCCTCCTGCAGGGTGATACAGACAGAAGGGGGCATGAGTCTGTCCTCCTCCTGCAGGGTGATACAGACAGAAGGAGGCTATGAGTCTGTCCTCCTCCTGCAGGGTGATACAGACAGAAGAGGGCCGAGTCTGTCCTCCTCCTGCAGGGTGATACAGACAAAAGGGGGCTATGAGTCTGTCCTCCTCCTGCAGGGTGGTACAGACAGAAGGGGGTTACAGTGCTGTGAAAAAAGTATATATTTGTCACACATAAATGATTTAGATCAAATAAAATGTTAATATTACACGAGTTGCCATAATTGATGAGACCGTGAATTCTGCGCTCTACCAGAAAATCCTGAAGGAGAATGTCTGGCCATCAGCTTGTGACCTCAGGCTCCAGCACACTTGGGTTGGGATGCAGCAGGACAACGATCCGAAACACACCAGAAAGTTCACCTGTGAATGGCTCAAAAAAAAAAAAAACCAAAAAAAAAAACCCCAAAGTAAAAAACAAAAGTTAAGTTTTGGAGTGGCCTAATCAAAGTCCGCACTTAAATCCAATTAAGATGCAGTAACAGGACCTTAAGCAGGCCATTCATGCTGGAAAACCCTCCAATGTGGTTGAATTAACACAAATCTCCAAAGAAGAGTGGGCTAAAATTCCCCCACAGTGATGTGAAAGATTCATTGCCAGTTATTGTAAACGATTGATTGCAGTTGTTGCGGCCAAGAGTGGCACAACCAGGTATTAGGTTTCACATCACTCTTTAACCCCTTCAAGCCAGCACCTCCCGGCCCTTTAACCTCTTCACGCCGGCCGCACACAAATGTGCGGCCTCCCAGCGTCTGGGCCTAGACGCTGAGCGGCCGCACATTTGTGTGCAATTAAGAAAAACATATGTGCTGAGAGCGCACGCCCTGCACCCCCCAGCACACGTTCGGTACTCACGGAAAGGTCCCGATCTCCTCTTTTGATCGGGACCTTTCCCGATAATGTGACGGCGAATCACGACGATCACATGACCCTAAAACCCCGCCCTGCCTCCCGGCTTCTAAACCCTTAAAGGGCCGGGTGGCGCCAAGGGATTAAGGAGTTTCTGATGCTAGGAGGCGGGGTTTAGGGTCATGTGACTACCATGGTTGGTTGTCACAGCAGTCACATGATCAAAATAAGGTCCCTATCGCATGGATAGATCGGGACCTTTCCGTGGGATGCCGGCACATATGCTGGGAGCTCGAAGGACACGTGCTCTCAGCACGTTGGTTTACAAAAGGTACGCAAATATGTGGCCGCTTGGCATCAAGGCCCAGCCGCCGAGAGGCAGCATATTTGCGTAGTCGGCGTAAAGAGATTATGGTCATGCCGCAGCATCTCAATTGGATTTAAGTCCAGACTTTTGACTAGGCCACTCCAAAACCTTTTTTTTTTTAATCAGAGGTGGACTTGCTGGTGTGTTTCGGATCGTTGTCCTGCTGCATAACTCAAGTGCTCTTGAGCTCTCGAACTGATGGCCGGACATTCTCCTTCAGGATTTTCTGGTAGAGATCAGAATTCTCGGTTCCATCAATTATGGCAAGTCTTCCAGGTCCTGAAGCTGTAAAGCTGTCCCAGACCATCACACTACCACCACCATGCTTCACTGTTGGTATGATGTTCTTTTTATGAAATGCTCGGTTAGGTTTATGCCAGATGTAACGGGACGTACACCTTCCAAAACAGTTCAACTTTTGTCTTATCACTCCACAGAATATTTGCCTAAAAGTCTTGGGGAAAACAAAGATTTTTTTTTGGCAAATGAGAGACAAGCTTTTGTGTTCTTTTTGGTCAGCAGTGGCTTTCGCCTTGGAACTCTCCCATGGAGGCCATTTTTGCCCAGTCTCTTTCTTATTGTTGAATCATGAACACTGATCTCAACTGATGCAAGTGAGGCCTGCAGTTCTTTAGATGTTGTTCTGGGTTCTTTTACGACCTCGTGGATGAGTCATCGTTGTGCTCCTGGAGTAATGTTGGTAGGCCGGCCACTCCTGGTAAGGTTCACCACTGTTCCAAGTTTTCTACATTTGTGGATAATGGCTCTCACCATGGTTCGCTGGAGTCCCAAAGCCTTAGAAATGGCTTTGTAACCCTTTCCAGACTGATACATGTCAATTACTTTGTTTCTCATCTGTTCTTGAAATTCTTTAGAACGCGGTATGAGGTGTTGCTTTTTGAGATCTTTCAGCGTGCTTCACTTTGTCAGATAGCTTCTATTGAAGTGATTTCTTGATTCAACAGGTCTGGCAGTAATCAGGCCTAAAGGTAAATTTAACTCGACTTTCCAAAATTTATGGTTAATTACAGTGTATTCATGAATCATTTAAGTGTGACAAACATGCAAAACATAATTTTTTTTTTTTTTGTTTTTAAATAAGGAAGGGGGCACATTTTTCACAGCACTGTACGAGTCTGTCCTCCTGCAAGGTGACACAGACAGAAACATGTTGAGTCACTGACATTGACATCAGAATATGTTTCTTTATACCTTTACTGGGATACGGTATATTTGTACGCATTAACATTTTATGTATCTATGAGATTTGTAACTGCAGAGTGAATCATCCCATTACACTCTGCAGATGTTTTTACTAATTGCTGCACATTTCTGTATACTCAAAGTAACAATTTTAATGAACATTGTTGTAGCGCCTATGAAGTCCACTCTATGGCCTTCCCTCCCTGTTTTTTTAATTCAGTAGCTTTATTAGGATGTGGCACTTGGTAGCTTTGTTTATATCTTCACAGTCAATTTTTCAAAGACACAGACAGAAGGGTGAACTATGAGTCTGCATACAACTTCTCTACTTACGAGATGATTGTAAGGTCTATAAGATGCTTTCATTTCTCCATTGAAGGCATCCCACACATGAATGGGGTTATCTCGGCTGCTGCTGGCAATGCTACAAAAAAAAAAAAAAAAAAAAAAAAATATCAAGTGATTCACAGCATTGTAGAATTCTGCTGTGACAGACTACAATATCATGAGTATTGAGTGTTGGTGATGTCACTAATATTTCACAAATCTAAGATAGACCTATGACACACACTATATCGTCACACATCTAAATCAAAAGGAAGACTTACAAGCAAGTGTCGGAGTCAGCAGAATTCATAGACGGATACCAGCAGTAATCATAAATGGTGTCACCCTCTGCCATGCGCAATACCGGGCCTGCGAGAGAACAAAAAACATGCATTCGCTATCCATTGCCTGCATCGGACATGGCTCTATATATACACATCTAATGCAAATTCAGTTTTGTGAAAAAAAAAAAAAATGCAATTTTATTTTTCCTACGTTGTCAGTTGGTTTACTTGATGAGAGGACAAACACCATGCCTTGAGGATCACCAATAGAACAGAGAACCAGGAGCCTCACAATGCCATGTTTGTCCTCCGGTGAGCATCCTGCAGAGCCCTGTCAGGGAACGTACCATTTCTTGCAGCAAATCCCATTCTCCAGAATAGATCTGTGATGGAAGATTGTATATCCTCAGGATGTTGTCATCACTGTTGGTTAGGAAACACGACCCATCAGGAGCCCTGGGGTGGGAGAAAGGGGGAATTTGGTTATAGTAGAACTATGACTGCATAAGTTTAATTTTATAAGAAATTATAAAAAAAAAAAAAAAAACAAAAACACAGTTCTCTCTTAGTCCCCATGCAGAGTCCCACAAATACCTGGTTAATCCTGCCAGTGAATTCCATCTAACACAGCTTGTGTGTAATGGTGTACATACCTTCATGCTGCAGCTGTCCCACATCAGCATTAAGACCATGAACGGAGTGATCATACGACCACTAATTGCTCAGTTCTTGGTCTGTGCTGAGCGAAGAGCTGTGTGCTGAAAACCACTCTGCCCTGTCAGCTGATAGTGGCCATTAGCCCTCTATAAGCCGATTCTGGGTCACAGAAGTACTTAAATAATCGCACTCCTGTGACCCTCTACAGCAGTATTTCTCAACCCTTTTTTCAGTCAAGACACCCTTTAAAATTATGGACAGTCCAGAGGCACCCTTTAAAATTATGGACCGTCCAGAGGCACCCTTTAAAATTATGGACAGTCCCGAGGCACCCTTTAAAATTATGGACAGTCCCGAGGCACCCTTTAAAATTATGGACAGTCCCGAGGCACCCTTTAAAAATTTGGACCGTCCCGAGGCACCCTTTAAAATTATGGACAGTCCCGAGGCACCCTTTAAAGTTATAGACAGTCCCGAGGCAACCTTTAAAATTATGGACAGTCTTAAGGCACCCTTTAAAATTATGGACCGTCCCGAGGCAACCTTTAAAATTATGGACAGTCCCGAGGCACCCTTTAAAATTATAGACAGTCCCGAGGCAACCTTTAAAATTATGGACAGTCCCGAGGCAACCTTTAAAATTATGGACCGTCCCGAGGCACCCTTTAAAATTATGGGACAGTCCCGAGGCAACCTTTAAAATTATGGACCGTCCCGAGGCACCCTTTAAAATTATGGACAGTCCCGAGGCACCCTTTAAAATTATAGACAGTCCCGAGGCAACCTTTAAAATTATGGACCGTCCCGAGGCACCCTTTAAAATTATGGACCGTCCCGAGGCACCCTTTAAAATTATGGACAGTCCGAGGCACCCTTTAAAATTATGGACAGTCCCGAGGCAACCTTTAAAATTATGGACAGTCTTAAGGCACCCTTTAAAATTATGGACAGTCCCGAGGCACCCTTTAAAATTATAGACAGTCCCGAGGCAACCTTTAAAATTATGGACAGTCCCGAGGCAACCTTTAAAATTATAGACAGTCCCGAGGCACCCTTTAAAATTATGGACAGTCTTAAGGCACCCCATTCTAAAATGTGAAACTATTTTAATAGTTTTATATAACGCAGCAACATCCACACATGTAGGACACCCAACATTAGAGGGGATTTGTTCTTCCAAAGTAAATACACTTTTGCACACTGGTACTGACTAGTATTCCTGTGTTTCTCTTCTTCCTCACTTTTTCTCCATCGGTGAGCTAATGTGACCCCAGAACTGATGGAGAGGGGCGGGGGCGGGTCAAACCAGGATGCTGTTCAGCCAACTGCCATCCTCCTTATCAACTGATGTCATTGGTTGTCAGGATGCAGGTCGCTAGAATGTCGTAATGGTGCACAATGAAAACCTGTGATTTTGTGTAACTATAAGGCAGGCTTGTTCCACCCGCTGGCTTGTATACAAGTTTTGGACAATTTTTTTGGTTTTTATTTTTAGACATTTTGCCAAGGCACCCCTGAAGAAACCTCAAGCACCCTGGCTGAAAAAGATTGTTCTAGAGAAGCTTTGGCCATACTTCTCTTTTAAAGTATTTGTGACGCACTGCTTCAAAAAGCCATTCCAATACAGCATATAGAATTAAATGCATCATTATACCTTTATACACACACACAAAAAAAAAAAAAAATTATATATAATAATAAAAAAATATATATAGCCCCTCTGGAACTAAAGTTCTTCTGTAAGAAACAGTAACCATTGAGAACTGGCAGATCACCAGGTTTGTTAAAGAGGTAAAATAAAAATGTAAGAAGCTGGATTAAAAACAAACAAAAAAAACAAAAACTCTACATTTATATACACACATATTTATGTAATATTATTTTGTGGGGCAACATACACCTTAAGCTGTCTGCGGACTGTCCAGAGAGGCTGCATCCAAGGAGGCATGTCAAAGTGTAAAGTGGAATTGAAACAGAACACCTCTATTCTCACCTGGTGATCCTACCCGTAACACAGGAGGAGCAGCGTTGTCACCCTAGGACAAGAAGCATGTTAATACTACGGGATCCCCTCCTTCCCTAACGTATTAACAGAGGTGAGCTGCGCAGGGCTGAGCACTGCAGAGTGTACAGAAAGCTTTCAACTTGCAAGATTTTGGGCAGAACCAAAAGTCTTTTTTGGCACTTATGGAACAGATATAAAACAAAATGCTTTTAATGGTACGTTTGTATATTTAAAGTGTTACTAAACCCCGGACCCCGCGTCCACTGTTTCCGGTCTCCCCGGACCCCGCATTCACTATATCCGGTCTCCCCAGACCCCGCATTCACTATATCCGGTCTCCCCAGACCCCGCATTCACTATATCCGGTCTCCCCAGACCCCGCATTCACTATATCTGCTATCCCCAGACCCTGTATTCACTATATCCGGTCTCCCCGGACCCTGCATTCACTATATCCGGTCTCCCCGGACCCTGCATTCACTATATCTGCTCTCCCCAGACCCCGTATTCACTATATCCGGTCTCCCCGGACCCCGCATTCACTATATCCGCTCTCCCCAGACCCTGCATTCACTGTATCCGCTCTCCCCGGACCCCGCATTCACTGTATCCGCTCTCCCCGGACCCCGCATTCACTATATCCGGTCTCCCCGGACCCCGCATTCACTATATCCGGTCTCCCGGACCCCGCATTCACTATATCCACTCTCCCCGGACCCCGCATTCACTATATCCGCTCTCCCCGGACCCCGCATTCACTATATCCGCTCTCCCCGGACCCCGCATTCACTATATCTGCTCTCCCCGGACCCCGCATTCACTATATCCGGTCTCCCCGGACCCTGCATTCACTATATCCGGTCTTATCCGCTCTCCCCGGACCCTGCATTCACTATATCCGCTCTCCCCGGACCCCGCATTCACTGTATCCGCTCTCCCCGGACCCTGCATTCACTATATCCGCTCTCCCCGGACCCCACATTCACTGTATCCGCTCTCCCCGGACCCCGCATTCACTGTATCCGCTCTCCCCGGACCCCGCATTCACTGTATCAGCTTTAAGAAGTAAGACAGGTTGAAAGGCAAACAAAAGAAATAAAAGAACATCATACCTGATAAAACATGATTTACAGAGCTGACAATTTCATTTTTTTTTTTTTTTTTTTAAACTTTCTTCAGGCCATTTAGTTGACAAAAGGTGCAGCAGATTTTATGGTCTGCCCTCCACGTGGTACTCACCACTTGCAGCCTTTCAGGAAGTTTTCAGGAACATTCGCATACTCGTTCCATGCTCCAGTCAGTGTCCAAGGAGGCTGAGAGAAGTCGTAGGATGCTGAGCTGTGGGATTTAGAGGGAAACGGGAAATACTTCAACTGAAGGCCAAAAACAAATAGCATCAGATAAAAGAAAAACAGCCTATCGGGGCGGACTGACAACTCATGGGGCCCCCGGGCAATAGGGGATCATGGGGCCCCTGTGTCCTTGCCCAAACTCAAAAAAGCCTATGAAAAAGGTACCAGGGACATCTCATGGGCCCCCTACTGACCCCGGGCCCTCGGGCAGTGCCCGAATTTCCAAATGGTCACCCTGCCCCTGCAGCCTATTAAATAAATAAAATAGAAAAGAAACATTTCTGCAACCCATCCAGAGCTCCCCAACCCTACTTTTTCCACCACTAGATGCCAGCAATCTGATGGGCAACATAATTTCACCCACTTCCTTTGAGCCCAGGTCATCCTGGACCCACCCCCAGTCTGTGAATAGGACTGTGAAGGAGAAGCAGCACAGTGATGAGCTCATCTCTCTACTCTCTCCTCCTATCAGCATGAAGTGACTTGCTCCTTGTGCTGCTTCTCTCTCATTTCTGCACTGCTGTACAGTAGGTTGATAAAAGGGCACATTCAGGTTCTTACACTGCTTGCAGAAAAAAAAGAAATATATTTTTTTTTTTTAGAGATGGATAGATACAGGGATGTGCGATTCCTATAGCCCGATTCCCAGGACAAGGGGTTTCGGGCGCTGGGCAAGAGGATATTTTACACATATATTTAGCCCTTCTGCGGGCAAGCAGCAAGAATTACAGCCAACGGTCAGCTCTCTTGTAAGAGGGATCCAAGCAGCAAACTAGCCACTGGATCACTTTTACAAGATCCTCTATGATATAGGAAACAGGAAGCAACAAGCATATATCACTTCCAGTTTCCCCGAATGCAAATGGCGCCATTTTTGAAAATGGAAAGCATGTGATCTCACCGATCTTGTGTGATCAAATGCTTTTAAGAGGAGGGATCTGTGGTCTTATTGGCCCCAGATCTCCCGATAAAGCACGATCACAGCCTATTGCTGTCACAGGGGAGGTTTACATTCCTTGTGAAAGCAATAAAAGGGATTAAAAAAAGAAAAAAATTTTTTTTTTTTTTAAAAGCATCGCCTTCCACGCACGCAAAGGCAAACGCATGTGTCAGTCCTGCATACAAGCACACAGCAATCGTCCCACACATGTGATGCATCACTGAGAATGTCAGGTCATGGGCAGCAATTCTAGCACCAGACCACGTCTGTATATCTAAGGTGGTAACCTGTAAAGGCTTTTAAAGTGTGGCTTTTGGATAGTAAAATTTGCGTTTTGCCGCTGCACGGGCGTACGCAATTTTTAAGTGTGACATGTTTGGTATCTATTAACTCAGCGTAACATCATCTTTTATATTTTACAAAAAAATGGGGTTTATTATTGTGTTTTTTGCATTACATTAAAAAAAAAAAGTGTTTTTCCAAAAAACTATTTCGTTTCAAAAACTGCTGCGCAAATACCGTGTCACATAATAAAATTGCAAAACCCACCAATTTATTCTCTAGGGCCTCTGCTTTACAAAAAAAAAAAAAAAAAATCTATGGGGGTTCTAAGAAATTTTCTAGCAGTTTAAGTCGCCATAAAGCCCTAGACTTTCCTAAAAGCACCTCTGCCTAATAAAAAACATCAACTCTTCATATTTTCCATCCTGGCAAAAAAATTTTATCATCAGGACAAGTAGATTTTCATGAAGGACAAGCAGATTGGGACCCAGATTTAGTCCTTCAACAAGTAGTTTTTTAACCCCTTCCTGTCCAGGCCAATTTTCAGCTTTCAGTGTTGTCGCACTTTGAATGACAATTGCACGGTCATGCAACACTGTACCCATATGAATTTTTTATCAATTTTGTTTTTAGACAGAGCTTTCTTTGGTGGCATTTAATCACCTCGGGGTTTTTTATTTTTTGCTAAACAAACCAAAAACAACAGAAAATTTTGAAAAAAGTTTTTTCTTAGTTTTTGTTTGAAAATTTTGTAAATAAGTGATTTTTCGCCTTCACTGATGTGCACTAATGAGGCTGCAGTGATGGGCACTGATAGGTGGCACTGATGAGGAGGCACCGGTAGGTGGCACTGATGGGCATTGACAGGCATCACTGAAAGGCAGCACTCATGGCACTGATAGGTGACACTGAAAGGCAGCTCAGATGGGCACTGATATGTGGCATTGATGTGCACTGGTAGACACTGATATGTGGCACTGGCAGGTGGCACTGATGAGCACTGACAGCTGGCATTGATTAACACGACAGGTGGCACTGCTGGGGCTACACTGATCATCAGGGCACTGATGATCAGTGTACATGTCCCCTCCGCGGAATGCCGATTACCGGGCTCTCCTCTCCTTTGTCAGCGTGACAGCTCGAGTGGAGAGAAATGCCGATAACCGGCATTTCCCAGTTTACATGCGATCAGCTGTGGTTGGACACAGCTGATCACATGACCGAGCCGAAATCTTCGGCTCTTTCTATTGATCGGTGATCCGCTGTGTCCGAGGGACACAGCGCACCACCGAACGCCGCGAACGCGCGGTTAGAGTGGGAGGACGTCATATGACGTCCTCCCAGAACGAGAGAACCGCTTTGCGCCGTATATGGCGGGCGGGAGACGGTTAAAAAATTACCATAGATAGATATAAAAATTTTTTATGGATTACTTAGCTGAATTACTTTATGTATTTTATATCTGCCTAGAGTCAGGCTTTAGGCTACGTCATCCTAACCTCCTAATGTTTCTTGTAGCCCAATAATGGACTCTTCCTAGAATTTCAGGGTGTCCTACCTCCTGGGAGAAAAAGCTAAATGTATTCCTCTTCCTTTGCAGAGAGGTATCAGAAGGTCCTTCTCCCTTCTGGTGTCCATCCTCATAGGGCCAGTAGCCTGGTTATGGCCACGACTGATCTCAGGTTGAAAGTTTTATATTTAGCGATGCAAAAGCGTTGGCTCCTTCTCAGCTCACCCTACCCACCTCTGCAACCTTCTCAGTGCTCACCCTACCCACCTCTGCAACCTTCTCAGTGCTCACCCTACCCACCTCTGCAACCTTCTCAGTGCTCACCCCCACCTCTGCAACCTTCTCAGTGCTCACCCTACCCACCTCTGCAAACTTCTCAGTGCTCACCCTACCCACCTCTGCAAACTTCTCAGTGCTCACCCTACCCACCTCTGCAACCTTCTCAGTGCTCACCCTACCCACCTCTGCAACCTTCTCAGTGCTCACCCTACCCACCTCTGCAACCTTCTCAGTGCTCACCCTACCCACCTCTGCAACCTTCTCAGTGCTCACCCTACCCACCTCTGCAACCTTCTCAGTGCTCACCCCCACCTCTGCAAAGGTCTCCGTATGAGCTTCAGATTTTTTTTTTTCTTTCACACTCCTTGTTGAACACTCATGATTCAAAGATATTCATAGGTCACCTGACATATGTCATGAACATTATAAAACAGGATCATGATATGGACCAGGGCGGCACAGTGGCTTAGTGGTTAGCACGTCTGCCTTGCAGTAAATGGGTCATGGGTTTGATTCCAGACCATGGCACCTCCTGCATGGAGTTTGCATGTTCTCCCTGTGCTTGCGTGGCTTTCCTCCCACACTCCAAAGACATGTTGGTAGGTTAATTGGCTCCTGTCTAAACTGTCCCAATTTCAACCCTGGCCATGCGGGATCTCCTGCATGGTAGGGGTTGGGGAAAGACCTGGCAACCTACCCTGTAAAATAATTGCTAAGAGAATTCATGGAAAAAGTCACTTACGAGTGACGGTCCATGCAATCGCCAAGGGTCGGATACGACTGGATAGATAGATAGAGATATGGACCAGCAGGCACCCCTCCTACAGTGGTACACAAAACACACAGCTAAAAACAATACCACAAGACAGAATATCCCTACTGCTCGCTTACAAATATGTCTCCTCCTCTGTAGTCTCAGTCAAGTCCTCTGGATCTGCCAATTCCACTCCTACTTTCTGGACATCTTCTTCCACCTCATGGGAGCAAACGTCACAGACCGGCCCTGGGTGATCAACACAAAGCTTCTTGCTAGGTGGCTCCTCGGAATCCTGACCATAGTCTTCAGAAAACTGTAAACCTTGTACCTCTTTGACTTTATCTCCACCTAGGATCTCAGCACCTTCACCACTTCCAGAATCAATATTTTCTTCATCCTTTGTCTTGAGGCCTTCTTGATACACCAAGGGGTCTGTCTCTTCAACCAAGCCATCACTGCAAGATCCCGCAACAGCAATATGACTCTCCTGAGGACCCAAAGCTTCCTCCACCAGTATCTCAGATGGCTTCCCACAGACATCTGCATGGCTTCGATCAGATGAGCCATTGTCTCTCTCTGATGTCTTGTCCAGGTTGTGGGCAACATTTTCCTCTGACTCCAGTTTTAACTCAGAGGACTTTTCAAAAATATCAACACTGCTTCCATCTAGCGAGTCATTGTCTTTCTCAATTATTTCATCTGGGTTGTGAATGAGGATTTCCTCTGACTGCTGTCTTAACTCTGACGACTTCTCAAACGTATCTACGCTGCTTTGGTCCAACGAGCCAACGTCTTGCTGTAAAGTCTCTTTTGGTGCATGGGCAAAACTGTGTTCTGACACCAGGCCCTCTTCAGTCATAGTGTCTCTGGCTAAATGAATATCCTCAGGAACCTCCATCTTGAGTACTTCTAAGGAATTTTTGTATGAAATCACAGAATTGCTTTTAGGTTCTCCATCCACATGGTGTTACTTCCTGTCAAAGGAGAGGAGGATACAATTAAGAAAAAAAAAAAAATGATAGCAACTGCAGCATTTGATAATCTCCTAGCCCAGGGGCAGGCAGCTCAGCACTTTAGCTGTGGTGCAACTACCAATCCCTTCATACCTCTGCCTCTAGGACAGACATTCTCAACCACGGTGCCCAGGCACCCTGGGGTGCCTTGAGGTTTCTTCAGGGGTGCCTTGGCAAAATGTCTACAAATTGCTCAAAATTGTATGCAAACCAGCGGGTGGAACAAGCCTGCCTTTTAGTTACTCAAAGCCCCAGGTTTTCATT